TTGTGCCTGAATCCAAGCAAAAGCTATTCACCTTCTTCATATCTGCACCACTGAAGGGAGGTCTCTCTGGTCTCCTGTCCAGTCAGTCCCTAATCTTTCTTGAGAGCACTATTGAAACCCTATGGAGAAAAGCTGGTGTGCAAGTATTAACTACCCTATGTCTGGGGCTCCTAGTTATTCTAAACTTACATGCTAGCCCACGTTTAGCCTTTAGGAATATGTTAAAATTTTAGCTGATTTCTTACCTCTTTCTGGAGTGGCCCATTACTTTTCTAGTGCTCTGAGAAAGGTAAAATAATTTCCATGTTTTGTCTCTCTTTGGAGAGGCTTGCCTCTTAGGCTAATTCAATTCTTGTGGTTGCCTTATGACCTCAGCTCTCTGATATGTTCAAGAAAAGTTATGATTTTACATATTATCTACTCTTTTTGTTGTCATTAGAGTGGGAGCAACATTCTCTTGCAGCTTTCTATAACAAATGTAAGCAGAAATTATATGGTTTATTTTCTTCACACAACATTATGTTTTTAAAATTCATTTATGTTAATACATGTAGCTACAGTTCATTTATTTCACCTAATGTATAATATTCTATTATGTGTGTATACCACATTATATCCATTCTCCTGTAAATAGGCATTTGGTTGTTCCTAGTTATTTTTATGAATGACGCTGCTTTAAACACTCTTAGTCATATCTGTTGGCGCATTTTTGTCAGATATGTAGCTTATATATCTAGAGGGGTTTAGCCAGATTGTAAGATATTTATGCCAATGTTAAACCTTACAAAATAATGCTTTTGATCTTTAATTTATGCCTCTACACCTTCTGAACAATAAAGAAAAGCTGCACACATCACTTATATTTATCATCTTTCCTTTTTGTCATCGCCTATGTCTATCCTTCCTTTCTTTATGTCCTCTTGAGTTCTAATTCCTCTTGTTTTATTATATGGGTCTTGGCTTCACCTGTGGCTTATGATCCAGCTCTTGTTCTCTGGTTTTGATGTTATTACTTCATTTGACTGATATTTGACTTAGTGCTTCCTAAAATATTTTGGCTAAGAGTCACTACTGTAGCTTATATTGTGTTGAGCTATAGAATATAATATCTCTCATTTTATTAAGGCCTTCAATCCCCATCTTCAGCTCTGACAAATTGAGGCAGCATCCTGAGTATTTACTCTTTGGTCGTGTGTGTGTGTGTGTGTATGTGTGTGTGTGTGTGTTTGAACATTTGAGGTTGAAATAACTCCATCAATAATTACCCTTTAGGTAACCCTTTTGGTAGACTTCATTTTACTCTAGAAACTAGTTTAAGTATTAAGTGGTCACAACTCCATAGTCCTCTGCTTTGTCTTCAAGAATATTAAAAGAGGTAAGTCAATTTTGTTTGTTTGTTTATTTTAGATTCCACATATAAATGAAATCATATGGTATTTGTCTTTATCTGACCTATTTCACTTAGCATAATACCCTGTAGGTCCATCCATGTTGTTGCAAATTGTAAGATTTCATTTTTTATGGATGAGTAATATTCCATTGTAGATATGTACCACGACTTCTTTATCCAGATGTCTATTGATGGGCACTTAGGTTGCTTCTATATCTTTGCTATTGTAAATAGTGCTGCAGAAAAAAAAAAAAAAAAAAACAGACTCGTAGATGTGGAGAACAAACTGGTGATTGCCGTATGGGAGAGAGATTTCCGGGGCTGGGTGAAAAATGTGAAGGGATTAAGAAGTATAAATTGGTAGTTATAAAACAGTCACAGGATGTAAGGTGCAGCGTAAGGAATATAGTCAATAATATTACAATAATATTGTAACAACTATATAGTGCCAGGTGGGTACTAGATTAATCGGGGGGATCATTTTATAAATTATATAAATGCCTTCTATACTGTATACCTGAAACTAATATAAAATAATATTAAATACAAATGCTAATTGAAAAATAAGAATAAAAGAAAGATAAGTCAAGACTTAGATACATGGTTCAGGACAAAGTGATCTATATTTTGCCCTCAAACTATAGGCACCTCAGAGAACTGGCTTTATGAGGCACAAATAAGATACTGTTTCTGCTTTGGTCTCCTTGCAGTGAATCCGTGAGCCAGAATTAGAGTGTTCATGAAAGGCATTAATATTTGGTGCATAATATGTATGAGGACAAATTTAATGAGAGATTGTGTTTACTCTCTTACTGTCAGTTGTCTGGGAACATATTTTATAATAACAGAAATATAGATAAGAACAAGATAGAGGTTATGGTAGGAGCTAAATAAACTCATTTTCTACATGCTGTGAGTTTCATTTTCCCTGGGGAAATATTAATTCAAAGCAGCTATGAAGTACAGAATTCTCTTTCCTCGATAGTTATAAAATTAGGAGAAAACATGATCTATGCTCTCCATAATCTGTGCTCTCAAGAAGATTAGAATTTAACAAAGATTAGTATGACAACCAACACCAGTGAATGCATCAATAAACACATGGTAGAAAACAAATATAAATAAGTAAGGATATGCAGAAGGATATAACTCAATGTTAAGAAATGTTAGATCAGAATAGGCTAGGCAAGGATAGTTCAAGAATGAGCAGCCTCATCAAAAAGAGAACATGGCATGAATAAACATTTTGTTATCCAGAGATATGTTTTAAAAATCTATATTTTTCTATACTG